AAGTTTCTTGCTTTTTAACAGAAATCGGACCGTGGTTTATATATACGAACCTTTTTGTAGGTTTTGAGGTTTACTATCACTCCTTCATTTCCCCTTCACTTACGGGACTCCCTGTTTATGTGTACGTACAGATAGGGGTCTGTATTGGTCTCCTGTGTGCTCCTCAGTTACCGTCTCCGAAGACATCAATACATAACCGCAGTCCTTGTTGATAATCGTGCCAAGGCTGAACGTCTCGCAGCGCCTAACAATCGAACTATCATAGCTTGAACTAGCATCGGATTTTCGGTTATTCCTTCACTCAAATAAAAAAAATCTCTGTTGCAAGTTTGTTAAACTAGCCTTAAGTGGCGTGCAGATGAGGTCGGGGTGAGGTTAAATTCAGATCCCAAGGTCAATTGGTTTCCCTAAGGAAACAAATGCTATTTTAGATAGAAGAAATCCACTATTTTTAGGTCAGGAAGGGGTATAGTTTCATTGTTGAATTTCATTCTCTTAAGACGTTATAATCCACAATTATCATGGGATTTATGTGATCTTCAATATTATGGTATCAGTAGTATTCAGTATGACAAGACTTTTTTTGGCTATAGTGAATTGTTTAGGTCATTTTCTGAAATAAAAGAAATTTTGATATCAAAACAATATGATGTATACTTGTAAACAAAATTTTACATAATATGAACAAATTAAAAAAATTAATAAAGTGAAGGAGGGAGGATGCATTTAAAAGAAATAGAGTTTAATTAAATGTATGAATTATTTTTCTTTCATATTTAAATAAATACATTCCAAAAATTAAAACGATACCGGTTCGAATCCAACCTGAGTGTGTTATAATTTATTTCGTTGTGGACCCACGAAATATTTAATTCGTATATTTAATATTGAAAGTCGAAATTGTCACATTGGTAAGTGTACATTCTGAAAATTCATAATTTTATATTATCATTAAAATCGATCCAATTCAAGATACTAGCCAAAATTTTATATATAGTCTGCACCATCTTAAGTAAGGAATGTGAATTTGCTGAATAAAAACTTTCTGATATGTTTATTAGTTACTGCAACATCTACATATTTAGCAAAGTGATGGTGATTTTTCATAATCATTACTTTAACGTGGTGCCGACGATATTACACCAAAAGTGGTTAGAGATTCTATTTTATCACCGGACATGTGGTTTTTTTATTCTGCTAAGGCTGTACATAAAATAAAAACTTGTTAAAAACTGACATCCCAACCCATTCTCAATACCGTCATCATCACCTATGCCGGACACGTATATCCTATCAGTTAATAACGATCCATCTATTGCATCCCAAACTCTTCAATCACACATCACAAATCTTGAAAAATGGTGTCAAAACTGGAGGATTAAAATAAGTTCCAATAAATCCCATCAAATTACCTTAACTCTTCGTCGTAAACCTATGACTTCCTGTCCTACAGTATACTCAATGACTTTAACAATACCCCACTTATCCCTGTTGAACAAATCCGATACCTACGACTCCACCTAGACAAACGACTCACTTGGAACCCCTAGACTGAAACGACTAGAAACCGCCCAACGTTTTCGACTGCTGCAGCACTTACTAGACAAACGCTCTAAACTTCCAACTATTTACAAAAGACTCATATATATTACTATAATAGGGCCTATTTGCACTTACGGGATCGAGCTTTGGGCTCTATTAAACCATCAAATTCCTCTCGTACCCAATCCTTACAATCCAAAATCCTTCGTAAAATCCTCAATGCTCCCTGCTTTGTTACAAATAAAATCATCCATCACGACCTGAATGTACCATATGTTTCCGATTTAGCTCAATCCAGATATCTATCCTTCCATAACTAACTGCATAACCATCCGAACCCTCTCGTTTCAAACCTTGCTTCCTCGTCGATCCCTGATAACCCTCCGAGGCCTTTGAAAAGAAAATGGCCTCGGGACCTTCTAATATAAAAATATAATTGGAGTGCTACCAACGGGTAGTTCATCTTCATGTTGTACATGTCATGTTACTTGTTTCATATTTACTTGTTGTATTTATCATTTAATACAGTTGTAAATTTCAACAATAAAATAAAGTTTTAGTAAAATATTGTTATTTTCAGTTTTCCTTGTGTTTATTATGTAATCCGGAATATTTCGTGACCCCTCATGATTCAATTCTCAAACGTACCGAATCACAAGTTACTCTAATATTTTTTGGGAAAATAATAATATTGAACTCTTAAGAGGAACTAATGTCTTCTTCCTAACATTATATGTAATACAAGTTGGTGGAAGATGTGGCATCCTACAACTTACAATATCCGTCTTCTTCCTAGCTGTCATTTGTTGCTCCTTTGCTGTCTGGTGTCCTTCATGTTACGGTTTTTCATTTAATTTCACTTCCTCTTTCCAGACGGACGTTTTTCCATCCTTCTACCAAAGCCTTCAACTACTCGTTATTCCCTCCGGGCATTTGCTCTAAGACCTTCCCTCACTACTTGGAGTTATGCGTCAATGCGTATCACCGTACCTGACGAAAACTGAGCTGAAAGACCTAATTTGATGCAAACCTCCCATCTATTTGTGTACCTCCTCCGATCCTTTGGGGCTGATGTTTTGTTTTTTCCCTAGTCCGGAAATTAGCGAGATTTTTAATCTTAAAGTCCGTGGTACAGATTTCTTTTTATCGAATTATTAACATCCGCCTGAGACATCATAAATAATTTCATCTCATCGTAACTTACAACTATTTTATTTACGAAAACTCTTGGAATTTGGGCTTTTTTAATCTGAAGGGAGCAAACTTAGTTTATTTAATTAGGTACTAAAAACTCGTAAATACCAATTTGTTTTCTACTTGGACCGTAAGATAATTTTATCACAAAATAGATAAAAAAGATGTCCTAAAATAATATTGGGCCGTGTGTTCTATATAACCTCGTTATTTTGAAAATTTTGAGGACGCGAAGGGGAAGTAGAGAACGCGAAACGGCTCAATATTTTTGAAGGCCACCTTTTTTCTCGATTTTGCGATCAATCTACCTTACGATCCAAGTAGAAAGCAAATTTGTATTTACGAGTTTTTAGTACTTAATTAAATAGACAAAGTTTGCCCCCCTCCAGATTGAAAACTCCCAAATTCCAAGAGTTTTCGTAAATGAAATAATTGTAGGTTACCATGAGATGAAACATATTTATGAAGTATGTATTTTATCCTAATTTATTTCGAAAGCAATTTCCATAGAGGTTCTTTTTCAAGTGTAAAATTGTATATTTTCTTTTATTTTAGATTTACTAAACAAAAATGTTTGTCACCATGTTTCTTTCATATCACCAATCTAGAGAATTAATTAGCAGTACTAATTGATCAATTAATAGACATTGAGATCGTTAGCCGTGGAAGCACCTCCTAGATTTGAACGTCGAAATTTCCTCGTTTGAATCATCTTGTTATCTCATTGCTTTGAATTGATGAAGTCCAATTATCCGTTGATATGAAGGTGTATTGGACCTCACGTCTCATTATCATTCATGTAATACCTTATTCAGTCTAGGTTACTAATACAGGCGTTGCCTCCAAGTGCAATTAAGGTTTCATTGTATTTCCCCTAATTATTGGCCTTGCTAACATTTTATTCAATATTAGCGGGGTATATATTCCTTTGACATTTGTCTGTGAACAGCACGAGGTCTATTGCGGTTTTCCATAATCGGTTGGTATTCTGACGCATCATTTCTATGATTGATTTGCCAGTACTGAGGTTTGTTCATTTAACTTTTCCTTCCTTGGTCTGTATATTGTGGTTATTTTCCTCATCATTCATTTGACTGCAATGAATTAGTTGCCCATTTTGGCCATCAATCTGGTACAGCTGTGTGCATCTAAGTATGTATATAAAGAATTGAATGAACAAAAAATACAACTTTATTTTGGTAAAAAGGCTTTTAAAAATCAAAGAATCATTTGTCTTGGTAGTTCTCTTATTCTTACACTCTTCATTTCTTCTTGAATTTACTCAGCATATCCTTTATTGTTAAGCTTCATGTTTTATCAAAAATCCGCTTCTTTTTATGTGACCGTAAAACTTCAACCTTCTTTTATCATTGATGTCTCCCTCTAGGCCTTGAATGTCTTTGTTCCTCCTTGATCTTTTTTTGGTCTGTACTCTTCTATGATTTTACTTAGTCCAATCTCTCCTCCTAACTCATTGTTTCCGCTCCAAATAATAATAATAATGCTTTATTTATTCTGGGACGAATACCTTTAGAATAATATAGAAAAACAATAATGTGAGCTAAGGAGCCTTAGAGATACATAAACAAAAATATAGAGTACTTAAATAGTCGAAATAAAAAAAATAATAGAAACAATTACAAGTTACTTACTAATTTAGATCAGTTAATAAGGAAACTCAAAAAAATGAAAATAAACATGAAATAAAAATGATGAAGAACGATCTAATAATTTATTAATCAATCTAATAATTCGATTATACATATTTACAGTAGTAACTATTTACAGTTTTATGAGGACTGGATGGATAAGAAATGATTGAACAGGCAGGATTTAAAGGTAAGAAGGGTTTTGGATTGACGGATGTGGGGAGGGATGGAGTTCCATAGGTATGGGGATCGGATAATTAACGATCTGTCGAAAGCAGCGGTTCGGTGGACCCTTATGTATAAATCAGAAGGCCGAGAACGAATATTAACGAACATATAATACCATCGGTTTCATTACTGTCTTTTGATATCTTATTTTAGTCTTTCTGGAGAGTTCGTTGTTATGTTTTCGTACCAAAAATCGCATTCTGTCCAGCTTTATTTCCCAATGCTTTGTCGCTTTCATTGCTTATTCAATATTATAGCTTTGGTTTGTTTTTAAGTGATCAATGGTCAGTCCTTTCTTTTATCATTTTAATACCGGGGCAAATATGCTTATTATTTTTTTAAAAATTGTAATTGAAAAATATGGTTTTTCATTTAGTTAACCTTAATTTATAGAGCTGTTAGAGACGGTCCCCATGGTGGAGGAATGTAGTTAGGTGAGCCGATATGAGTCAGCTGGTGGACTACGCCCAGCCTCGGACAAGCTCTGGGTGAAACGCGATCGCGAAGTGGGCGGACCGAGGTGGTCCAATCCAGGTTTGTAGGAAACCTTTCAATATGGTTGCCAGCCAATCCCCTCGTTCTTCCTCTCGTTATGTTCATCTTGGTCCGAAGCTTATGCCTTCTTTATAGCATTAATATGCTCACTTTACTCTTTAGGGATAGATATGTATTTCCACTAGTTTGGTATCTGGTCTTTCTTTTAATTTTTTTTTTAAATTTATTTATTGAGTATTATAACAATCTGTCTCTTGGACATTGGTTATAGTGAGGTAGGATGACATTCACACTATATGTACAAAAAAAAAAAAAATAATAAATAAATAGAAACAAAATAATAATCAAAAGTATATACAATAGATAATAAAATAAAATAACCTAAAAAGTAAGAAAATTAAAACTAAGCAAAAAAAAAAAAAAACACATGCATACCTATATACAATCAGGCGAGGGAACTCCAGAACCCTGCGCTACTCTCCCGCGTCACTGGGACTAAAGCCAGCGGAGATTGATCAAGAGCGCTTTAGCCACACTCATGTCTTGAGTGAAGAATCTGGCCATTGACTCCAATTTATACAATCTACAAAAGGTCGCGAGGCCACTGCCGTTTCAAACTTCTTGGAGGATTATAGGGATGGGAAGTGCTTGATAGGGATTGTGCAAGAGGATTTGGGTGGTACGTGGTAGGTTCTGGTGAAATTTAGAGAATTTTTCTGGGATAAGGTCTAGGACAAATAGGATGTTGAGGTCATGATGTAGGGTTTTGTTGGTTACATCGAAAGGAGCATCGACTATTGTTCGAAGGACTTTTGACTGGAAGGATTGGATGCGCTTGATGTTAAGAAAAATTTGCTGATCCCCACAGTTCTAGTCCGTAAGTCCAAATAGGTTTCAGTATTGTCTTGTTCTTTTAATTAAGAATGAAAAAAATGTTTTTATAAAATAAAAATGATGAATCCTGCTCTAAATAAAGAATTTTAATAAAACTGTTTGTAGTTATTGTTTGAACATTATGTTGAATGTGTAATTGTTAGGGTAACGATACCAATAATTGAAACGTGAGATGTATTAGACACCCTGAAAACTAGTAAATTTATCTATTATACTCCTGAAACATATTCGAATATTCAAACTTTTAGGTTTATATCGTAGGTTTCGGCAGGAACTTATCTTTGGAGACCTTTTGACAAATTTAGTTTCGGAGTTTTCAGATTCTGGTATACTGAGTGGACGGGGTAGCGGAGTGAGCTAACGCGTGACCAATACATACGGTGCGTGGCAACCTAACTAACTAACTGATTGAGAGTTCAAGTACCTGTAACGAGGGCTTTTAACTCAGGCATTACTCCCTCGCCCTCTCTCCTGGCACGAGGAAAAACTGTATAGTCGAAAAAATGAGGTAGGAGAGGTAAAGAAATACTGTTAACCTGTATATAACAGGTATTTTCATTCTATATATTATTTCTGGAGATTTACAATAAAAAAAAACAATTTTACCTGTACTTCTAATGATGAAAAATAGATAACCAATTAATTAACAAAGATTATGAGAAAGTAATAAATAAATTAGTAAATAGTGATAAAGTAGAAATTTGAAGCAGTATGTTCTGAAACGTTTAGTGTTATAAACAAGTTAAATAAATTTAGCTAATTCACCTTCTGTATTTATTTTGTCAGATCTATCAGCTGTTTTCGTTCACCTTGCAATTCTGTTTCGCTTATTTTGATTTTTATTATTATATTTTGTTTCTTTAATTTCTTCTCTTTCTTTATGTCTTTTTTGTTGGATTCCCAGTGTATTTTTGATTGTTTACTACACGTTTTCTATTTTTATTTATTTGTGCTTATCAGCCATTTCATTATAACCCTCCCAATGCTGTACATTTTATCTTTTTTTCTATTTTTTTATGATTTCTTAGAGTACTTTTCATTATTTGATACAAGTTTTACAAGTTAGCTTATTTTTCCGTAAGTAAATATTTTGATGTCATTGAATATATTTTCTCTTGTTAATGTGTCTTTTATGTGGACTGTTGGTAAGATATGTTGTATATTTTATCTCAATTTATGTGATACGTTGTTTCTCTTCTGACGGTGCCTTAATTGGCAAAATGTTGGCGTGTTTGTTTTTTTATGTACATTTTAGAGATTCTCGATCTTACTTACGTTCCTCGGAGGCGAAACCTATGAAAAGTCTGGGAATTTGGGCGTTTTCAATCTGGAGGTCGACAAATTTTGTCTATTTAATTAGATAGTAAGAACTCTTAAATACCCATTTGCTTTCCACTTGGATCGTTAGACGATTGGATCACAAAATCGAGAAAAAGGGTGGCCTACTAAAATATTGGTCCGTTCGCTCTATATAATGTCTTTAGGAGACGTATTAGCAGATCACTTTAAATATTTCAGAAGTACATCTTTTTTTCTCGATTTTGTGCTCAAATCCACGATTCAAGTGGATAGCAAATGGGTATTTACGGGTTTTTAGTACCTAATTAAATAGACAAAGTTTGCCGATCTCTAGATTGAAAACGTTCCAACTCCGTGAATATTCGTAAATAAAATAGTTGTAGGTTACGATGACATGAAGCTTTTTACGAAGTTTCCGGCGGATGTTAATTCGATAAGAAAGGGTCTGTACCACGGACTATAACTATCATAGGAATCATTTGCGCGAGCCATCTAATAGATCAAATAGATATACGTTATTTAAGTAAGTTTTTGAAACCCTTAACTCTTGTTTTTCGTTGATACTTCTACATCATTTAATGTAAAATTTATTTTTGAATTATTATTGGTTTTGAATCGAGCGCGTTCTTCTATTGCTTGTAATAGAATTTTGTGCGAACCTGATTAAGTTGTTAGAATTTTATTTAGTGTTTGGTTTCTTGTATTAAATATCTGTTATGATCAATAAATTTATTATGATTTTTTTTATTCATATTAATATTGGAATAGGGTTGGTTGAGTAACATCTGTCCATTGGCCGCTGACTCCTATATACGGGTGTGGTGACCTCTAAACGTTTAACGACTGGATAGCGATTTCTCTGTTATTGATGGTTTCCGGAGCCGGCTCCTCTATAAATTAGATTTATAAAAAACACGAAATTCATTTGTTCATTACTTATTTACTTGTTTTTGAAGGCATGCTTATCGATGATAAGTATACTCCGTAATATGAAGACACGTAGGTGGAAGGATTGATGTATATACAGAATTATTGGATTTTAGCCAAAATTCTGTGGAAAAGTACTTCAATATGTATTTTGTAGATTAGGAACTCTCGGTTTTACTGAACATTTTTATACTTTTTTATAATTAATGGAAAAGAAAAATTATTTTTAACATACTAAATATTTTTTTTTTACCTCTGATTCAATTTTGTTTCTAAAAAGAGCTCGTAAACCGTAAGTATGTATATAAACTCGTATTTCGGTAAATTTTACCACAGAATAAATACATGATGAGAGTTCAAATATATGTAAAAAATTACAGAGATTTAATTTCTATAATTTTTACTATTTAGTAGAATCCTTACTTATTTATAGATTAAATATATATATTTACTTTCAAATCTCTCTTAAGTAGTTTCGAAATTTTTATAACAGTGATAGCAAACTCAGGAGCTACTTAGAGTTCATATAAACAATGCCAAAATATTCAAATAAAATGTGTGTTTAGGCAATTGGATTTTTATAATACATCCTAGATCTTCGAAAAACAAGAAATAAAAGATTTGCTACACTTAATTAAAGTGATTTTTGCTGAAAACATAAGTACTTGAGAGTTGAAGACAAAATCCTCGAGCAGGTAGAAAACTTCAAATACTTAGGCGCACACCTTAATGAAAATGGATCGATTCAGTGGTGACTGAGCGAATCGCTGCTGCAAGCAGGATGTATGTAGCAATTAAGAAAGATTTTCTAAACAGGCATGAGGTGGAAAAGAAAACAAAGGTGGCTGTTTTTAAGTCAATAAGCCGGCCAATGATGTGATTGAGTAGAATCGACTGAGATGGCTAAGACATCTTCTGCGAATGGAACCAAACAGAACAGCTCCAGCGAAACCTATGAAGCTAAAGTAGACGGCAAGAGAGGAAGAGGACGGTCTAGAGGAAATTAGAAGATGAGGTGAAGGGGTCTTCAATGGAATGATAGAAGGCGTCTTGTGGAAGTCCGGCAGAGCTGGAGAAAGCTCGATAAACTTCCTCCTCACACTGCTTAATGCGGTTCAAGAGGATGGATTATGATGATGGCATAGGTACTTTTACATGACTGGATAAAAAAATAATTTTTTTTTTGTACACAACTTGAGCTGAAGTTTTTTCTAATAAACTTTAACTCAATTAATACGGACTCAAAGCTTATTAAACGAAGAAATTTTTGGAAAAGTGGGGTATCTGTAGTACAATTGGATGATGTTAAAAAAAATTCGTGAATTATTTTTTTTAAACAGGATTTAGCTTAGTTTAGCCACTCAAAAGTCCTCTTTAAATGGTTTTAACAATGACAAACTCTATTTTTTTGTTGCTCTTGAGGTCTGATATAGCTACTTAAAAATTTAACTCTACTTACGGAACACCATGTGTAGTTATGTATTACAGATATATTGATAGAGTTGAGAGGTTTTTATTGCCTACCACCGATATAATAAATTGGTTTTGTGTTACTTAGGTGGTGTTTGTTATTTTTTGTATCTATATATAAGACTGATGGTAGCAAATATGTATTTAAAGGTTGAACTCTAAAAAAAAAATGCAAGATTTTGTAATAGCCCAATTTACAGGTTTTTTAATACATTAAATAAGCTTCCTCTGTTAATAAATTTTGAATGTTTCCATCCGCCCGAATCAAAATTTTGAATTTATACCCTGAGGTATGTATGATTGGATGACCGGGAGGACTGACCAAGACCCAGATTGGACCCTGCCTGTTCCCATAGCGCCATGAATCGGATGAAGCAGGGACTGGGGTACCGTTATTTGCCGATCTTGATCTTCCATTGGAATAGATGCTATCATCTCCTCATACCATCCCTTATTACACGGTCAACGTGACCGCAATGATGACCGGCTCTCCGACCATAGCTCTTGTCTTTTTTATTTACTTCGTTTATATATTCTACTTTTAGCATTTAATTATTTTATTCGACCAACTGAAGACATTGGTAAACAAGTCACAAGTCGCCTAGTTTTTTTTCGTTATCTATTAAATAATTTCTTTATTTGGTAATATTACATTGTGTCACATGTAAGGACATTAGTGAGTAGCTCATTCACGCTCTATGTACAATAAATGAAAATAAATTAAATAAAACAACAGCAAAATAATAATAGTAAAATCTAGTTGGCCCGTGCTAATAATTCACAGAAAGTTTTGTTTAGTGAAGGAATAACAATATGGTAATAAGTAGATTCTGTGTATTGTCTGAGACAGGAATTGATTGATTTTCCTTGCTTTGCTAGGGCCTATTTTCAAACGCTGACTGGAAAGCTAATAAAACCAAAATAAAGACTCGATCATGGAATTTTCTAAATTATTAAAAAATATATAATGTAAGAACAGATGGCTTTAAAGTTGATTTATCGGCCAGGAAAAAAAGTTTAGTAGAATATTAAATGCAATATCTTTAAAGATGAAGAAAATATTGAATATACCAAAATTAATGGACTGTATCTATGTAAATAATTGTCCGAATTTTAGAAAAAAAAATTTAGGTAATTTAGTTATCTTTCTAATACTCGTGGGTACTAACTAGAAACAAAATCTTACTTTTTCAGTTGTTCGCAAATAATGTTTCTTTTCCTTAAACTTTTCCCCCCGGAAATTTCAGGGGGATAGGACTATTTTTAAATTTTTTCAATAATTCTATAGAGTAGTTATTTTAATATGTAGTTTTATTAAAATAAAATTCTTCACGTGTCAGTGAAATTAAGAAGAAATGAAAAACTCGTTTATTCAATAAGAGTATTTATATGTGGGCTTGATTTGGAGTTCCCCGGGCTGTCTAAATATTGTATGGTGTAGTATCGTCTTGTTTATGATTTTCTTCTTAAGTTTAATTTCATTCTTTTTTATTTTACAATGTTTAAAATAAAAATTCTTTTAACAAGGGTGTAACGTATTAATATTGTATATCGTTGTTTTATTAAAAAAAACATCAAGTAACATTTTATAAAATTCAATTGATTAACACTTATAAAATTTTAACATTCTGCACTTCATGTAACTAACTATATTCAGTATTCAAAAGGGATTATGTCATTTTGATACACTTGCGTTTTTGTATCGATAAAAAATATCGTAATTACACAGAAAAGTACTTAAAAATTTAAATACATGAAACATATTCTCAGTGACTTTTTACAATATACCCATGATATTTTTTATCCAAATGAAATTAGTTTTATAAGAACTTTGATATGATTTTTATTTCATGAAAATATTTATTTTTCTTTTAATTTAAATACAAGAGTAAAAAAATGTTACGTATTTAAAACGTTACTTGTATGAATGTTATGTAAGTATTTATTTTTTATTAGTTTTCTATTTTTTTTGTTACTGTTCTGTCTGTGTCAGTCTAATTTGAATATAGAAAACTTCAAAATCGATGAGAATTTCATAATTATTGATGTATGTGATACTATATATTACTTTTTTCCTTTGGTTAAACTTTATAAAAATTATAGCAGGAATTTAAATATAATGATCATTATTGACAAAAAGAAGATTAAAAACCACGTACGCAAAATAGACTCGTTTTCAATTTTTCCAGGTCGGAACTATAATCGATATATAGGAAAAAGCTAGTTGTTGGCTATGACCATGATAAGAGCTTGGTTCTCGCGCCTATGCATAATGGCGTGGAGTCTCTCAAGGACCACTGCTTGCTCCTACTCCTATTATCTCTATAGAAATAGCTAGGTCAAGGCCTGTCTTAGCAGTCTCAGTGGTTCTAGAGGTTTGGGTTTACGGTTATATTTTTATTCGATTATTTTAGTAGGTCTTTAAAATTAACATTGTATTATAAATTAATTAATCGACATCGTATTATAAATTAATTCGAAATCGTTTTATAAATCGAAATCGTATTATAAATTCTTACGTTAGAATTTAGTCAGTCTATTGTCAAAAGTCACTAAGTTCATTTTCAATGGAGGTAAACTTTTTTGTACGTTTTTGCGAGTTTCGACCTTATTTGTCAATGTAAAAAGATAGTAATTTTGTCATAATGACTCAAACCCGTTTATGTATCAAATATGTGTATGATGTTTTGAATTAACCGAGAGATAATTCATCAATGTACTTAGTGATATAATTTTATGAAGTGTCACTTAATGACTTCTTGCAATAAACCGACATATTCTATGCATGTCCTATGTGGTCTTACCGAGTGGTTGGCGAACTTACTAGTTAAAAATCAACATTGAAATTTGTTTTGAGAGCTTTTTTATTTTGTTTATAAAGTTAAACTGTTTATAGAAATGTCTTGTTCTTAGGTAAATAGAGTACACCTAGTGTTACCCAAATGCGAGACGGTCTTGGTCTTGCAAACTCAGTGTTGGTCAGTCTCGCAACGGTCTTGCAGTTACTTATTACTATAGAGATATTACTGTAACCTAACTAAGCCCGAATGAAAAATTAAGAGGTGTTAAATGCAAAATTATATCGATTTTAACGATTATTAACATATAGTAACTAAGATTGGCAAGTATTAGAAACTAATTTTTATTCAAAAAATCGATTTTTTTTTAGCAGTCCTGGTCTTGGTCTTGCAACAGTTAGCCTTGGTCTTGGTCTTGCAAAGTCCGATTTTGGGCAACACTAAGTACACCTAAGTTACCTTCTGTTAAAAACTTCCTTATTGTTATGTTCCCTCAGATCGACTTCATCCAACCTTCCCATCTACCATACATCCATACTCGTCTTTTTTATTTACTTACTTAAGCCATCCTCTTCTACGGCTAAACAGTGTGAGGCTTCCGTCTATAGACCCTGATTCAGTAGTCTATTGTGAGCCAATTGTCTTCTGCTCGTCCAATCCATTCCTCTTTGGTCAAAGGCATTCTTTATTCCACTTTGCCACGTCTTCCTATGCCGCCTTCTTTTTCTTACACTTCCGTTTCCTAAGTGACCCTTGCAGATATATTTTTCTGGTATATTCGAGAAACATCACGAGGACCGTACCTCCTTGATTGGTATTTCTTTATGAACTGACATATATATTTTTTATAGTACATAACAACTGTCGTGAAAAACAGTTAACGAGTTGTGAGTTGCAGCGCTCCACACTCAAATGTTGCTCGCGATTGTGTGTTATCCGACCAGTGGTGCAACACCTATATTTGCTACTGCAGGAAATTCCAATCGTTGCAAAATCTTGTTTAAGTAACATATACCGCAGATAGTCAATAATTTATCTTATTAAATTTTCAAATTTCTTAATATTTGTAATTAGTTTATTATATCTTTCTCTGTTATTTTAATATTGATAATTGTTATTCTCATATTGATTATTTAAAAAGTAGGTGATTATAGTTCATATTTGGTGCTTAAGTTTTATATTACATATTTTGTGCTTGTTGCAACCACGTTATTCATACTGTTGGATAAAGTTAGTTACTAGTGTATATGCACCGAAAAACAATATTTTACAACTTGTAGCGCATAAACTAAACCTATAAAAATAGTAACATATTTAACACAGGTACTACCTGAAAACTGTTGACCTGGTTTTCACGAGTTTATCCTTGGAATAACATGAATAGCCCGGGAAAATCCGACCACTGATGGTCATTGCTCTTTCCATAATTATGCTGATGTCTCTGACTCAGTCACCCCCTCCTCTTCTCTCTCTCTCTCTCTCTCTCTCTCAAAAAAAAATAATATATATATAGAAGAAAAAGAGAAGAAGAAGAAGAGAAGAAGAAAAAGTCCTTTTATTTATCATAATTACAAAATATAAATTACAAAACGATACAAAATAATATTTTGTACTCTCTCTCTCTCTCAAAAAAAATATATATTTCCTTCTTTTTAAAAATTAAGTGGTCTATTAATTATTTTGTTCTGTATAAGTATACCCAGCAAGGGTTTTATAGAATTGCTATCATTTTAATGAAAAAATATTTTTATGCTATAATAAACAAAATATTAATAGCAGTTTAAATTCACCTGTTATTTTTTTGTAAATGTTAAATTTTTTTATTATTTTAAAAACATTTTTATTCTGTAAATAGAAAATATACAATGTAATATATGCATTTTTTTCTTAAATATATTTAAAATATTCTAAATATTTTTGTCCCTTTTCCATTCTTTAAGCCGTTAAATGTCCCTTTAGGAGAGTATTTTTCCTGTCTATAAATTTTACAGATCTTATGTTTCTATTAGTTTATTCTCCGTTAGTAATATTATAGTATCTTTTGATGTAAACATTAATTAATGGAATTATAAAAAAGGCCATTTTGCTAAAATAAGGCATTTTATTAGTTTTGCATAAAATTCATGTTTTGATGATAGTTAACTGAAACCATATTCAATATATTTTATCCTTTTCTCGGTTCTAATTCATTTGAAGTTGTTTTTAAAAAATTATAATCATTATTTTCTTGTTCTTTTGTTATTTACCCATTTCCTATAGTCAACTTTATTGTTACTTGTAAATCTTAACTCTTGCCTGAAAATTAGTTTTAGATTATTTTTATACAATATCTTTCAGTTAATTTTCTGTTCCACGAAAATTGCTGCGTATTTAATATATTCTTTGTTTGTCATCAAGTGTGTACCTCATTCCTTGTTCAAAATAAAGCTCGTATTTTCATTACTCCTTTGGCTGTTTGAGCCAAATTTGTTATCGTTGTCAGTTCTTAATTTAAGAAATATAACTTTTAGTATTTCCAAGAAAGCCTTTCGTTCTTCTGGAAGGCACCATATGTTTGTGGTAATACAAGCTGAAATTTAATTCTATGAGTCAATCGGAAATTCCAAATGTGCAATATAGCCTGAAGGAACTTTCCAC